AACAGGTGAACTGGAGGAAATGCCAGGGCAGAGCTTAATCGATCAGATTTCATTGGCAACACAAAGTATCTGATGAGTGCAGTAAATTCTTGACCTGAATTGACTGAGCGGAAGCAAGTGATTGATAAGCACACTAATATTGCTATTGCGCACACTGAGCTTCCTAGCATGATCAGGGGGAAAGTGAAATGATGATCAGAGGTGGAATTTAGAAGACTGAGCTTCCTAGCATGCTAAGGGGAAAAAGGAGATGAAATGGATAAACTGAGGTTCGCTATAATGTATCTCAGGGAGTCCGATGTTTCCGATGTTGATGCTAGTGCATTTCGGTACGTGAAATAATTCCTACAGTTGTCCTTACAATTTAATAAAGCAACTAATCATATCAGTATAGGATTATTTTCCACCAGAATGTTTTTGTTATAAACCAAAATAAACAAGGGAAAAATTTATATTGGAGCAAAAGTGATCCCCACCAATCAAATACTAAACAGAACGTCCAATTGAACTGAAAACGTTCTCCAAACAGGATAGTGGCAGTAAATAATACAAATTGACTCGATATCAACACATCAAAAGCAAATTAAGTATTACTGGAAAATGTAAGTTACACAAAAAAGTAAAATTTCTTTTCCTAGGAAAGGGACCACGAGCTTCACGGAAATTATATAATTAAAATTAATAAATGAACCCGTGATGATAACGAAATTCATGACAAAGAGCAGCCATGTTTAACACCGACGAGACCTCAACGGTTCTTTGTTCAGACCAACTACAAATTAATCAAAACATATAATCAAAATCGGCAAAAGAGATGCTGACATGCTATAGAGTCACTGACACTTTTTCTTGATAATAAAAAAATTCATCGGTATACAGGGCTACGAAGATTTGTAGCCAGTTCATTATAAGCACAATCAGCAAAACAGATGCTTATATGCTATACAATCCCTAACACTTTTTCTTCCATTCTTGTATAATGTACTTCGATAAGAAAAAAATTCATCAGTCTACAGGGCTACGAAGATTTGCAGCCAGTTCATTTCAAAGTAGAACTGCTATTTGGTTCCCCACTTCTCCTCATTATTTCACGTATGTGATTAGCACTCCTAGATAATATAATCCCTTATTTAAACCAAAATAGAATAAACCAATAGAGACATAACAACTTATTTTAATCCTTTGGTTAGTAATATTAAACATGTAGACAAACAAGATAATATTTGTTTATTACCTTATTATATTCAGTAGTAAAATGTTTAACGCAGTGTTGTATAACAAGATGACCACTGGGATCGTTAGCCAAGGAAACAACACCTAGGCTTCAAGCGGACACTATGAGTGATATTTGTTGTGGTGTATCCAGCTTCTCCAACAGTTTTTGCATAGTTGTTGCCCTGAATATCACAGAACACAATAAAAAATATATATATTAAAGCTTTGACAACAAATAAAAACATAAATCTGTATAAAATTTTAAAGTCAATTTATTCATACCCAAATGAATGAAGACAAATATTAATGAATTTAAATGGATTTGTAGTTAATGTGAAAATAATCCTAGACCTCTGTTCCACATTGCACACCATGAAAAGCTTCTGCAAAAATTGACTTCCAAATTGATTTGCTATCACATCACTCAAGAATNTAGTTAATGTGAAAATAATCCTAGTTCTCTGTTCCACATTGCACACCATGAAAAGCTTCTGCAAAAATTGACTTCCAAACTGATAAACTGAGGTTCGCTATGAACTGATTAGTTGCATTTCAATGTGAGCAATTACAGTTTGAATTATGCATATTTTGAGTTCTATTTGCTGGTTATTGGTTGGTTTTGGTTGAAGTGGAGCTCCAACCGAGCTCCAACCATTACAAATGAATCCACAGGCGAAGTTCGGAGGTTTATACGTTCATCCCAATTCTTATTTACAGAGAACTCAAAACTAACATGACGAGATGTGCAAAACGAAGAAACCACCTATCTAATTGGGAAAAATCACTGGAATTCACAAAATTAGGTTGCAATTCTACCTTTTATGTCCGGAATTCAGAATCCGAAACCATGCTGCCGGCGGTCCCTTC